CTCATGAGGAACTTGTACAAAGATCAGAAGGATGTTGTTCAAAGAGAACAAGGGGATACTGCATGGTTTAAAATCAAGAAGGGAGTGCATCAAGGTTGTATCCTTTCATCATACTTATTCAACTTGTATAATAATCAAATAATCTGAGAAGCTGGATTACATGAAGAATAACATGGCATCAGGAAGGGAGGAAGACTCTCATCCTGATATCCCGTGTATCCCAAGACTGCGATACACAGATGGCACACCTCTGCTAGCTGAAAGCGAGGATGACTTGAAGCACTTACTGATGAAGACTAACTAAAGACTACAGTCTGCAGGAAAAATCCTCACAACTGGTCCAATAAACAGCCTTACGTTGGACTGGATGGAGAAAAGATTGATGTTGTCAAGGATTTCATATTACTTTGTTCTACAATCAACATCAATGGAAGTAGCAGTCAAGACATCAGACGATGTACTGCGTTGGGCAAATCTGCTGCAAAAGAGCTCTTTCAAGTGATGAAGAACAAAGATGTTTCCTTGAAGCCTAAGGTGCACCTAACCCAAGTCATGTTTTTTTCAATCGCCTCTTATGCATGTGAGAGCTGAACAATGAATAAGGAAGACCAAAGAAGAGTTGATGCTTTTGAGTTGTGGTGTTGGAGGAGAATGCTAAGAGTACCATGATCTGCTAAAAGGACTAACAAATCTGTCCTGGAAGAAGTGCAGCCTGAATGCTCCTTGGAAGTGAGAATGGCCAGAGTTCATCTCACCTACTTTGGTCATGCTGTCAGAAGGAACCATTCCCTGGAGAAGGGTATTATGTTTGGTAAAGTGGAGAGTCAATGAAGAAGGGGAAGGCCCTCAACGAGATGGACAGACACAGTGTCTGAAACGATGGGCTCAGGTATAGCAAGGATCCTGAGGTTGGCACAAGACCAGGCAGTGTTTCGTTCTGCAGTGCATAGGGTTGGTATGAGTCAGAGATGACTTGATGGCACCTAACAACAACAGCTGATACTGTCATTTCCCAGTTTAGAGTGAGAACATAAAAAAAGGATGAAGAAATCAGTTTTCCATCCAAGTTACTATAATTTCTTATCTTTCTAAAGCACCGTGCACTCTAGGAACACCAAAGATGTCCATGGCCTTGAAGATTTCCAAAGGACTATTCATGTGTCTTACGTGAAAAACAGTTATGGCAAATTGGTTAAAAAGTACTATATGCTTTGACAAATTTAGGATTGTCCACACTATGGTTACATTTAGATGCATGCTCTAATAATTCTCCAATTTGCATGTTTATGACTGAAATAATTAATTTTTCAGGTATGAGCTAACAAAACATGCATTTCAGTAAATATGTTGTGGTAGTAAACACCATGGGTTCTAGAATCAGACTATCCTAATTTTGAATCCTGGCTCAATGTTGCATGTTTATGACTGAAATAATTTTTCAGGTATGAGTTAACAAAACATTCATTTCAGTGAATATGTTGTGGTAGTCAACACCATGGGTTCTAGAATCAGACTGTCTTATTTTTGAATCCTGGCTCAATCACCTATTAGTTGTATGACCTTGGACAATTTGATCTATTTGTGCATCAGTTTCCTCATCTGTAAAAAGGGCCCAACCCTTACTTCACAGGGCTTCATGAAAACTAAATGTGACCACAGCAGGGAAATGATGGTGATGGTGGTGGTGATGGGTACAATGACATTAACAGCCAATAATATTTGTATCTTGTAAGCTAGAAGAAAAAAAAATCCCTGGAAATGAATCTAGTTGCTGTTAACTTGGTACTGGTCCATTTTCTAAAGGTCAGTGAGCGATATACTAATGTACACTCAGCCCTTCCAACAGTACCTTCAAAAGGATATCTACCCACCAGTCAAATTAGTGGGGTTGGGGGGTGGGGGGAATAGATTTAATTTGAAAATGAAAACAAGGATCAACTGTAGCTAAATTTACCTTACACCTAATCTCCCAATTGTATTTCCCCCTTCAAGACAGACTTTTAATGCAGAAGTATTTGCCAAACAACTTCATGGAAATCCCAGAAAAGCTTGTCTACCAGCTTGTGCCCAAAGCACAGCATGGCTCCCGGTCCATAGAAAGCACTTACATTTATTTTCATTTACTTCACAAAAACAAAAAACAGTTACATGCTTAATCAGTGCTACAGGTACTGACCTAATGTTAGTGTAATCATTTAAAATAATTTAAATGAGTGAAAAATGTGAAATGATGTAAGCTAAAAAGATGAATGCTAGTCTCATCTAAAGATGATGGTTTTGATCAACCAACAGATCTCTATAGTGTGACTCTATCAGTTTTTGTCAAGCAACCATAAGCCAATGGAAGTGAATTTCTCAGCATGCTTTAAAAATACAGAAAATTAGGAGGCCTGAGCACAGACGGAGTGTAACAATCACTGAGTCCAGGATCTGTTGAGGAGTTTTACACAGTCCTTAGAATGCCCCCAAGAACGTAATAGAGGGCAGGGAATATCAGAAGTGAAGCTACATTTCTGTTTACAGCTGGATTGCATAAAAATTTCCTTTCTAGACAGGGCTTTATACTTAAAAGTCTTAATTAACTCCATTGCTGTAGCCCAGCCCCGTTATTTTAGAAATGAGAGGTAGAGACCCAGAAAGATTAAGTAACTTGCTGTACAGCTCCACAACAGAGTTCAGTTAGGTTCCAAAAAGGCCCCCTTGGGAAGACTGCCTCTCAAACACTGTTCCTCTTATAAATTCAATTCATCCATCCCTGATTAATTCTATTCAAAAGGCAAATACCAACAACCATTTGGAAATGTGGAAACTTTTGTTTCTGGCTTCTTTTTTTATCTTTAGATTTGAAGTGAGAATATAAAAAAGTAGGAAAATGAGGAAAAACAGGATTTGTAATTTTTCTTTTCAACTTTTCCCTTGTGCTACATACAAGTTTACTGAAGTGTGGCACACACAGGACGAAAGATTCTTTCAGCTGTTACACATACATATAACCTTTTTAAAATTTCAATAATTATGTGTTTATTTCTTGTGTTGCAGGAACAGAGGTATAATTCATCAAACCCATGAGTTAATAAATAGTATTACATATATTACATGTAAAATCTCCTTGCACAAATTACGTGAATAATAGGCCCAGTGTTCAAGCTCACGGACTTTTAATCATAGCCATTTGGAAATAAGTGAAGATGGATTAAAAAAAAAAAAAAAAAGAACACGTATTAACATTTCTCAAGTCCTTTAATTTTATCCCCCTTGGGAAAAAAAATCTATTTTGAATGAGCTGTTTTAGACTTGCAAAGCTAATGTTTAATTTGCTTTTTTTTCCGACTTAAATTTTCATCATTACCTATTACTTATGGCATATATATATATATGTATACCCCCCCCCCCCGTTAACTTCTATTTATGGCTGGAGGAGGTTTGCCACTTATGGTAATGAGAGAGATATATCACATAAATTACCAGCTCACTGGATATGGTAAAACTGTAAAAGTGATGGACAAATAGATAAAATGTCAGAAACTCTTTATTAAAGCTCAGGGATACAAGTGCATATTATTTTACTTTCACATTTTTACTTTCCAAGTAATTTCTTAAACAAATATTTATATTATGTATCCATATTCATTTAAGTGGAAGACATGTTTGATTTAATCACTAATTATTTAAAAGTACTTTTATTCACCTGGACTTACCTTGATGCTAAGAGGCCTCTCACACTCTTCAACCACAACTCTCTGATGACTAAAAAGCATAAGCCTTTAAAAAAGTAGATAATTTGGAAATAACTGCTATAATGAGAGCCTATGGAATGTTAGGGTCAAAGAGGGTGTTTCTCATTTAATAATCTATGAGTAAGAAGATTCTTAGGATCAAAACATGTTGGAGCAAAATTCCCAGGGTACAATAGCAATCACCATCCACACGGTGGATATTTGTAAAATCTTTTAAATATGATAAAGTGAAAGCTGATACTACCTTAAGATAGTATCTAGACTTTCTTTTTGAATGAAACAATGTCACCAAAAAAATTTCAGGTAGAAAAAAGTGGCACCTATGGAATTTAGGACTTTAACACACTTATCACTTAAAATAAATGGCCATTTAATTACTTTTTAACATGTATGTATATGCTTTTTCTAAATTACAAGCTTTCCATTTATTTAAAAATGTAAATGAACTCACTCCAATGGCATAACTCTCAGCAAAATGACAGGCCTACGAGCTGAACACCTGCACCAGGGAGATGCACTCCTTGGAACAATCAACCATGGAAGAACAGAAGGACAGCATTTGTACAGTGAGAAGGTAAGGAGGCAGGAATATGCAGACAAGAAGGATGCAGGGAAAGAGTAACCACAGGGAGGAGGTGGGAGGTGAGATATTACACAGCAGGGAATGTAACCAGTATCACAAAACAAAATGTATATGAACTGTTGAATGGAAAATGAAAATGTTTTGTAAAATTTCACTCAAGTCACAGTAAAAAGTTAAAATTTTAAAAATAAAAATGTTACAAAGTAGTAAAAATATCTCAAACAGGCTCTTCCAGAATAAGCTTTAGTCTGTTTCCTCAAGGAGTTCACTATGGAATCAAAGATGTAAGACACAGTAAAGGACTGCTGCATAGCATGGATGTGCAATTTTTCCAAGAACAGTAATGAGGAAGGTCACAGTGTGCCACCCACTTTCTCTTTGACTGGTATTTCCTCTTGTCATGCCTAGGACTCATAAAGCAAGATGAAGAGGGTAAAAAATCACGACCTTTAAAGCCTGAAAAACCTCACCTAGGCCTACTTAAGTCTAGCTAAGAAGAAGGGAATAGGCAGAGAATATGATTATATACCACTACTGAATGTACAATGAGGCTATGTGACAGCCTATCACCTGTGACCTAAGAACACGCTCACTCATAGGTAAAAGGGCCTTGTATCTTGTATCTCAAGTAACAAAACGTCACAACATGATATGCAAAACCAAGTTTCAGAATTGCTTACTTGTGGGAAGTCCTTTTCTTCATCATGTTTGCAGACACACCAGCATGTCCTATAAGAGATAAGTATACAGTCAAATGGAGATAAAAATACTTGAGAACTAAGGAAAAAAATGAATTTCTGAAAAACTATTATATGAAGTATTAAATGAAAACAAACTATTAATCAGCAAATTAGGAACATAAGAGAAAGTGCTCTAAATGTTAAAGGGCATCTAAGAAAAACCCACAGCACATTCAGTGGTAAAACACTGAAAGCTTTTCCCCTGAGATCAGGAAAAAGTCAAGGATATATGCTTTCACCACTACTATTCAACAATGTACTGGGAGTTCTAGCCAAAGCAATTTGGCAATGAAAAATAAACAAAAGGCATCCAAATCAAAACAGAAGTAAAGCTATCGCTACCGTAGATGACAAGATTCTATCTACAGAAAAATTACAAGAATCCATAAGAAAGTTATTATATCTAATCAATTAGTTCAACAAAGTGGCAAGATACATTCAACAAAGTAGCAAGAAAATTTTAAATTTTTTTTAAAATTTTTTTAAAATCCCACTTACAAGGGCATCAAAAAAAAGCGGTGAAAGACTAGTACACTGAAACTATAGTACACTGAAAACTATAAAACATCATTGAAAGATATTAAAGAAGACCTAAATAAATAGAAAAACATCCTGTGTTCAAAGATTAGAAGACTTAATATTGTTAAGATGTCAATATCACCCAAATCAATTGACAGTGAACACAATCCTTATCAAAGTTCCAACAGCATTTTATGCAGAAGTAGAAAAGCCAGTCCTTAAATTCGTATGGAATTGCAAAGGACCCCAACTAGTCAAAACAATCTTGAAAAGAACTCATATTTCTCGGTTTCAAAACACACTATAAAATTACAATAACCAAAATAATGTGGTACAGGTGTAAGGACAGACATATGATTAGAATGTAAAATGGTACAGTCCCTGTAAGAAATATTTTGACAGTTCCCCCAAAAAGTTAAACAGAATTATCATATGACCCAACAGTTCAACTTCTGGCTACACACCCCAAAAAACTGACAGCAGGGACTCAAACAGATACATGTACACCAATGCTCACCGCAGCACTATACACAGTGAAAAGGCTAAACAACTTAAATTATTCATCAATAGGTGAATGGACAAACAAAATGTGATTTATACATACAATGGAATATCACTTGGCCATAAATAGAAATGAAGTATTTATACATGCTACAGTATGAACCCTGAAAACATGCTGAGTTTAAAAAGTCAGTCACAAAAGGAAACTGTTAGGCAAAATGTCTATACAGACCAAAGGCTATTAGTGGCTACCAAGGGTAATACAGGAGGAAAGGAGGAATCACTGCTTGGGGATATTGAGTTTCTGTTAATTGTGGTGGAATTAAGTTGAAAAAGGATAGTGGTAATGGTTACACAACTGGGTAATATAATCAGTGTCACTGAGTGTAAAAGTTGTTGAAGTGGCAAATGTTTTATTATATGTATTTTATGAAGGTAAAGATGAAAAACTAAGCTGAAAATAAAGGTCTATTACACCCAACAAAAGTTTAGTTTAACTAGTAGAGAATGTCTGCCTTAAACATTATGCTTTGTTAAGATCTAGCTATACAGGATCAAATTGACAACAGCAACTCAAAAGATTACATGAGAACCTTAGAGGTTATGTTAATGGCAGACAAACAACTAAGAAGGAGGGTGAGAATGGCTGCATAATTCAAACAATGTTGTCAGTGTCACTGAATTGTACATGTGGAAACTTGGTTATGTTTTTGCTGTGTATACGCAACAACAACATTTTTTTTTTTTTTTTTTTAAAGGTCTAATGGAACTGCACCACCCTCCCCACTGTACCTCATCACCCAAAGCACACACAGCCCCACAGTGAATATAGTAAGGATACTGGTTTATACAAGGGAGTTCTGGTGGCATAATGCCAAAGGCATCTGACTTCTAACCAGAAAGCTGGTGGTTCAAACGTACCACCCATTCCTTGGAAGCAAGACTGGGCAATCTACTTCCACAGAGATACCGCCTCAGAAACCCAAGGAGAGATTGCTATGAGTTGGAACTGACTTGATGGCAGTGAGTGGTTTTTTTGGGTTTGGTTTCTAGGAAAAGCCACCTTATCTTAGCATTTGGGCAGCTCCTTGTCCCTACATTCTAAACCAAAGCTTGTCAAGTCTCCAAACCCCACAACTAAGTTCATGCAAAGTTGGCTTTCCAATTTAGGAGGATATGACATAGTGCCTAAGGCAATTGACTGCTAACAAGAAGGCTGGTGGTTCAAACCCACCAACCACTCCTCGAAAGGAAGATGGGGATCCGACTCAACAGCACATAATAACAACATGGTAGGAACACAATCTTCCACGTATCAAAGAAATGCAAGTCATTCATAATCAAATAATCCTTTATCATGAAACATAAACAGATAAAAATCAGCAGCCATTTAAAAAAAAAAGATCAAATCAAGTAGCATCACTGTCCTTGAAATGATTAAAGAATAAAAAAAATTAGTAAGGAGTTGGTATCCTCAAGGAAACTGAACAGATTATATTCACAAAACAGGAACAACGTTACTAAAAAAAGGAAAACGAGCTCTTAAAAATTGAAAAATGAATAGAAGTACTACTTTGCAACTCTTCTGCAAATCTAAAATTATTTCAAAATAGAAAAGAGTTTTTAAAAAAATTCACCTAGACTCATTCACCATCAACACTGAAGACAGGAAGTGAATGATAACTTCACAACATGTGAAGGAGGCTAGGCTGAAAGACCCAGCACAGATAGAGGAGCAAGAGGCCAGAAAATAATCTACGAAAAATGCCTCCAAGAAACTGAGGTCATACAACAGAAGGTAGAAGATAAATATATTATATACAAAAGATTAATAACACTAACAAAAAAAGTTTCTAAAAGTTGAGAGGAAAAACAATTGCAACAAAAACAGGAAAAGTAAAGGAAATTAACCCTCACACATAAACCGTTGTTGTTGTTAGGTGCCATCGACTCATTTCCCACCCATAGCTACCCAATGCACAGCAGAACGAAACATTGCCCGATCCCGCGCCAGTTCCACAATCCCTGCTATACTTGAGCCCATCATCCCACGCACCGTGTCAATCCATCTCATTGAAGGCCTCCCCCTCTTTCGTCGACCCTCCACCCTACCAAGCTTGACATCCTTCTTCAAGGAATGGTCCCTTCTGACAACATGACCAAAATAGGTGAGACAAAGTCTGGCCATTCTTGCTTCTAAGGAGCATTTTGGCTGCACTTCCTCCAGGACAGATCTGTTAGTTCTTTTAGCAGTCCACGGTACTTTCAGCATTCTTCGCCAGCACCACAACTCAAAAAAGCATCAACTCTTCTTTGGTCTTCCTTATTCATTGGCTCTCACATGCATATGAGGGAATTGGAAGTATCATGGCTTGTGTCAGGCACACCCTAGTCCTCAAGGAGACATCCTTGCTCCTCAGCACTTGAAACAGTTCCTTTGCGGTTGACTTTCCCAATGCTACACACTGTCTAATGTCCTGACTGCTGCTTCCATTGGCATCGATTGTAGAACTAAGCAACATGAATTCTTTGATGACCTCCATCGTCACTCCATTTATTATGATGCTGCTCACTGGTCCAGTTGTGAGGCTTTTTGTTTTCTTTACATTGAGACGTAATACATACTGCACACTGTATTCTTCAACCTTCATCAGTAAGTGCCTCAAGTCATCCTCACTTTCAGCAAACAAAGTTGTATCAGCTGTAATCTCAGGTTGTTAATGATTCTTCTTCCAATCCTGATGCCACGTTTTTCTTCATATAGTCCAGCTTCTTGGATTATTTGCTCAGCATATAGATTGAACAAGTGTGGGAAAAGAATACAACCCTGGCACACTCCCTTCTTGAGTTTAAACCATGTAGTGTCTCCTTGTTCCGTTTGAACAACAGGCTCCTCGTCAAGGTACAGGTTCCTCATGAGTACAATTAAATGTTCGGGAATTCCCATTCTTCTCAATGTTATACATAATTTGTCATGATCCACACAATCAAATGCCTTTGCATAGTCAATAAAACACAAGTAAACAGCTTTCTGGTATTCTTTGCCTTGAGTCAAGATCCATCTGACAATAGCTATGATATCCCTTGTTCCACGTCCTCTTCTGAATCCAGCTGGACCTCTGGAAATTCTGTCAATATACTGGTGCAAATGTTTTTGAATTATCTTCAGTAAGATCTTACTTGTGTGTGATATTAATGATATTGTTCTACACTTTTCATTATCTGTGGGATCACTTTTTTTTTGGAATGGGTACAAATATGAATCTCTTCAAGTCAGTTGGCCAGGTAGCTGTCTTCCAAATCTCTTGGCGTAACTGAGTGAGGGCTTCCAATAGGGCATGCATTTGTTGAAATACCTCAATGGGTATTCCATCAATTCCTGGAGCCTTGTCTTCGCCAATCCTTTCACTGCAGCTTTGACTTCCTCCTTCTAGATCATATGCCACTTCCTGAAATGGATGAAGATCAACCATTTCCTTTAAGTACAGTGATTCTGTATATTCCTGCCATCTTCTCTTGATGTTTCCTGCATCATTCAATATTTTGCCCATAAAATCTCTCAACACTGCAACTCGAGGCTTAAATTTTTTCAATTCTTTCAGCTTTAGAAATGCTGAACGTATTTTTCCCTTCTGGTTTTCATACCCCAGGTCTCTGCACATTTCATTATAGTAATTGGTTTTGAAATCTAGTGTTAAGCTCTTTTATCTTGTCATTTCTTCCATTGGCTTTAGCTTCTCTCCACTCAAGGGAAAGTTTTCAGAGTCTCTTCTGTCATCCATTTTGGTCTTCTCTTCCTTTCTTGTCTTTTTAGTGATCTCTTGCTTTCTTCATGGATAATGTTCTTGATATTATCCCACAATTCATCTGTTAACGG